CCTGGGGATGTCACCTGGGGGGTGACCACAGCCAGGATGACCACGGGGCCACGGATGGGATGACCATGGGGACATGGCCGTGGGGTGACCACAAGGCCATCGCCATGGGGTGACCATGGCCAGGATGACCACGGATGACCACGGGGACACGGCCGAGGTCACTCAGGGGACAGGGGACATAGCCATGGGGTGACCATGGCCGAGGTCACTCAGGGGCCATCACCGGGAGGTGACCACAGCCAGGATGACCACGGGGACACGGATGGGATGACCATGGGGACATGGCCGTGGGGTGACCACAAGGCCATCGCCATGGGGTGACCATGGCCAGGATGACCACGGGGACATGGCTGTGGTCACACAGGGGACATCACCGTGAGGTGACCATGGCCAGGATGACCACAGGGACACGGCCGGGATGAGCATGGGGACATTGCCATGGGGTGACCACAGCCAGGATGACCACGGGGACACGGCCGAGGTCACTCAGGGGACATCACCTGGGGGTGACCACAGCCAGGATGACCGGGGGGACATGGCCAGGATGACCACGGGGACATCACTGTGGGGTGACCACAGCCAGGATGACCATGGGGACATCACTGTCGGGTGACCATGACCAGGATGACCACGGGGACATCACTGTGGGGTGACCACGAGCAGAATGACCACAGGGACACGGCCGAGGTCACTCAGGGGACATCACCATGGGGTGACCATGACCAGGATGACCACGGGGACATGGCTGTGGTCACACAGGGGACATCACCTGGGGGTGACCATGACCAGAATGACCACGGGGACATGGCCAGGATGACCATGGGGACATCGCCATGGGGTGACCATGGCCAAGGTCACTCAGGGGCCATCACCTGGGGGTGACCACGGCCAGAATGACCACGGGGACATGGCTGTGGTCACTCAGGGGACCTCACCGGGAGGTGACCACAACCAGGATGAGCATGGGGACATCACCTGGGGGTGACCATGACCAGAATGACCACGGGGACACGGCCGAGGTCACTCAGGGGACATCACCCATGGGGCCACCCCAGACACCAGGTCCCCCCCGTGTCCCCTCCGTGTCCCCTCCGTGTCCCCCCCGTGTCCCCTGCAGCTCCCGTCCCCCGGGAACGGCCGAACCGGGCGGGAGCGGCGCCGATCCCGCAGGAATCGCTGGAGGATCCATCCCGGGCGGCTCCGGGATCCCCAGATCCCAGGGGAGGGATCCGGGGGGGATCCGAGCGTCCGAGGATCCCGCGGGGACGGACGGACAGTCCGGGAATCCTCGCCAGTCCAGTCCTCGGGAGAGCCATGGGGATCCGGGAAAGGGATCCGGCGGGATCCAGGAGGGATCTGGGGGAGATCTGGTGAAACCAAAAGGGATCTGGTGCGGCCAGGAGAGCCCTGGAGGATCCCAGGCGAGTCTGGAGGATCCGTGTGAGACCCGGAGGATCCGGGAGGGATCTGCTGGATCCAAGGGGGGCCTGCTGGAACCAGGAGGGATCTGGAGGGTCCAGGTGGGATCTGGTGCTGAGGAGGAGCCTTGGAAGCTTCAAAAAGTGCTGGGAGAGGAGCTCGGGGAGAGTCCCAGGGCGGGATCGGGGCTGGGATCGGGGCTGGGATCTGGTGGGATCCGGGCTGGGAGCGGGCTGGGAATCTGGGCTGGAATCCTCGCTGTAAGCTGGCTGGATCCAGGCTGGATCCCGATGGATCCCGGTGGATCCCTCCTCAGTCGCTGCAGCACTGCCCCGGCCCCGCAGGCTGGGCGGGAGCTCGATCCCATTGGATCCTGGCTTGATCCAGGCTGGATCACGGCTGGATTTGAGCTGGACCCTGGCTGGACTTGGGCTGGATTTGAGCTGGATCCCGGCTGGATTTGAGCTGGATTTGAGCTGGATCCCGGCTGGATTTGAGCTGGATTTGAGCTGGATCCTGGCTGGATTTGAGCTGGATCCCGGCTGGATTTGGGCTGGATCCCGGCTTGCTCCCAGTGGATCCTGGCTGGATTTGGGCTGGATCCCAGTGGATCCCTCAGTTGCTGCAGCACCGCCCCCGGGGGCTGGGTGTGGGTCAGATCCCAGCGGATGTCAGCAGATCCCAGCAGATCCCAGCAGATCCCTCAGTTGCTGCAGCACTGCCCCGCGGGGTTGCGGGCGTGGGTCGGATCCCAGCGGATGTCGGCAGATCCCGGCGGATCCCATCAGATCCCTTCAGATCCCGGCGGATCCCAGCAGATCCCGGCGGATCCCAGCAGATCCCGGCGGATCCCAGCAGATCCCTCAGTTGCTGCAGCACTGCCCGCGGCCCTGCGGGCTCTGCTCGCTCAGGTCCACGCCCCGGCCCCGGCCCCCGGCCCCGGCCGAGCTCTGCGGCTCCGTCTTTGGCAGCTTCTTGGCTGGAACGGGGGGACGGGGTCACTCGGGGTCACTCGGGGTCATTTGGGGTCATCTGGGGTCACCCATGGGGGGCCGGGGTCATTTGGGGTCACCCAGAAGGGTTTGGGATGGTTTGGGGTCACTCAGGATCGTTTGGGATGTTTGGGGATATTTGGGAAGGTTTGGGGTTTTTGGGATCCCCCCCAAACCCCTCAGGACCCCCCCAAAACCCCTCAGGACCCCCCTGGAACCCCCCAAAACCCCTCAGGACACACCAGACTCCCCCAAAACCCCTCTGGACCCCACAAAGCCCTCCCAAAACCCCTCAGGGACCCCCCCAAAACCCCTCAGGACCCCTCGGGACCCCCCAAAACCCCTCAGAGTCCCCCTGGGACCCCCCAAAACCCCTTTGAGACCCCCCAAAACCCCTCAGGGACCCCTTGGGACCCCCCCAAAACCCCTCAGAGTCCCCCTGGGATCCCCCCCAAAAACCCCTCAGGACCCACCAGAGCCCCCAAACACCTCGGGACCCCCCAAAACCCCCCCAAAACCCCTCAGGACCCCCCCAAAACCCCTCAGGGCACCCCCCCCAAACCCCTCAGGACCCCCCCAAAACCCCTCAGGGCACCCCCCCCAAACCCCTCAGGACCCCCCCAAAACCCCTCAGGGCACCCCCCCCAAACCCCTCAGGACCCCCCCAAAACCCCTCAGGGCACCCCCCCCAAACCCCTCAGGACCCCCCCAAAACCCCTCAGGGCACCCCCCCCAAACCCCTCAGGACCCCCCCAAAACCCCTCAGGGCACCCCCCCCAAACCCCTCAGGACCCCCCCAAAACCCCTCAGGGCACCCCCCCCAAACCCCTCAGGACCCCCCCAAAACCCCTCAGGGCACCCCCCCCAAACCCCTCAGGACCCCCCCAAAACCCCTCAGGGCACCCCCCCCAAACCCCTCAGGACCCCCCCAAAACCCCTCAGGGCACCCCCCCCAAACCCCTCAGGACCCCCCCAAAACCCCTCAGGGCACCCCCCCCAAACCCCTCAGGACCCCCCCAAAACCCCTCAGGGCACCCCCCCCAAACCCCTCAGGACCCCCCCAAAACCCCTCAGGGCACCCCCCCCAAACCCCTCAGGACCCCCCCAAAACCCCTCAGGGCACCCCCCCCAAACCCCTCAGGACCCCCCCAAAACCCCTCAGGGCACCCCCCCCAAACCCCTCAGGACCCCCCCAAAACCCCTCAGGGCACCCCCCCCAAACCCCTCAGGACCCCCCCAAAACCCCTCAGGGCACCCCCCCCAAACCCCTCAGGACCCCCCCAAAACCCCTCAGGGCACCCCCCCCAAACCCCTCAGGACCCCCCCAAAACCCCTCAGGGACCCCTCGGGACCCCCCAAAACCCCTCAGGGACCCCTCTGAGACCCCCCAAAACCCCCCCGGGACCCCCCAGCCTGCCCTCACCGATGGCCAGGAAGAGGTCGTTGACGTTCATGGCTGTTTTGGCCGAGGTCTCCATGAAGAGCAGGCTGTTGTCATCGGCGTAGGCCTGCGCCTCCTGCGGGGAAACGTCAGCAGAAACCCCCCCAAAAAACCCCAAAACACCCCAAAAAAATCCTTCATGAAACACCA